GGTTGGGGATTTCAATGCTTAAGTGGGTAAAAATGTTATGGAGGGAGTAGTAGGTAAATTTGGGGTGCCAGGGGTAAATGTAAATGGGGAGCCTTTAATTGAGCTATGTGTAGAAAGAGATTTGGTAATAAGTAATACATATTTTATGAAAAAGAGGATAAATAAATATACAAGGTATGATGCAGCACGAAATGAAAGTAGTTTGTTAGATTATGTATTGGTGGATAAAAGGTTGATGGGTAGGCTCCAGGATGTACATGTTTATAGAGGGGCAACTGATATATCGGATCATTATTTAGTTGTAGCTACAGTTAGAGTAAGAGGTAGATGGGAAAAGGGGAAAGTGGCAACAACAAGTAAGAGGGAGGTGAAAGTGTATAAACTAAGGGAGGAGGAAGTTCGGGTGAGATACAAGCGACTATTGGCAGAAAGGTGGTTTAGTGCAAAGATGAGTAGTGGGGGGGGAAGGGGTTGAAGAGGGTTGGAATAGTTTTAAAAATGCAGTATTAGAATGTGGGGCAGAAGTTTGTGGTTATAGGAGGGTGGGGGCAGGAGGAAAAGAGGAGTGATTGGTGAGATGATGAAGTAAAGGGTGTGATAAAAGAGAAAAAGGTAGCTTATGAGAGGTTTTTACAAAGCAGAAGTGTTATAAGAAGAGCAGAGTATATGGAGAGGAAAAGAAAGGTGAAGAGAGTGGTGAGAGAGTGCAAAAGGAGAGCAGATGATAGAGTGGGAGAGGCACTGTCTATAAATTTTAATTAAAGAAAACGAGAAAAAAATTTGGAGTGAGTTAAACAAGTTAAGAAAGCCTAGGGAACGTATGGATTTGTCAGTTAAAAACAGAGTAGGGGAGTTAGTACATGGGGAGATGGAGGTATTAGGTAGATGGCGAGAATATTTTGAGGAACTTTTAAATGTTAAGGAAGAAAGGGAGGCGGTAATTTCATGCACTGGCCAGGGAGGTATACCATCTTTTAGGAGTGAAGAAGAGCAGAATGTAAGTGTGGGGGAGGTACATGAGGCATTACGTAGAATGAAAGGGGGTAAAGCAGCTGGAACTGATGGGATCAGGACAGAAATGTTAAAAGCAGGGGGGATATAGTGTTGGAGTGGTTGGTACTTTTGTTAATTAAGTAAATGTATGAAAGAGGGGAAGGTACCTAGGGATTGGCAGAGAGCATGTATAGTACCTTTATATAAAGGGAAAGGGGACAAAAGAGATTGTAAAAATTATAGAGGAATAAGTTTACTGAGTATACCAGGAAAAGTGTACGGTAGGGTTATAATTGAAAGAATTTGAGGTAAGACAGAATGTAGGATTGCGGATGAGCAAGGAGGTTTCAGAGTAGGTAGGGGATGTGTAGATCAAGTGTTTACATTGAAGCATATATGTGAACAGTATTTAGATAAAGGTAGGGAAGTTTTTATTGCATTTATGGATTTAGAAAAGGCATATGATAGAGTGGATAGAGGAGCAACGTGGCAGATGTTGCAAGTATATGGAATAGGTGGTAAGTTACTAAATGCTATAAAGAGTTTTTATGAGGATAGTGAGGCTCAGGTTAGGGTGTGTAGAAGAGAGGGAGACTACTTCCCAGTAAAAGTAGGTCTTAGACAGGGATGTGTTATGTCACCATGGTTGTTTAATATATTTACAGATGGGGTTGTAAAAGAAGTAAATGCTAGGGTGTTCGGGAGAGGGGTGGGATTAAATTATGGGGAATCAAATTCAAAATGGGAATTGACACAGATACTTTTTGCTGATGATACTGTGCTTATGGGAGATTCTAAAGAAAAATTGCAAAGGTTAGTGGATGAGTTTGGGAATGTGTGTAAAGGTATAAAGTTGAAAATAAACATAGAAAAGAGTAAGGTGATGAGGGAATCAAATGATTTAGATAAAGAAAAATTGGATATCAAATTGGGGAGGAGGAGTATGGAAGAAGTGAATGTTTTCAGATACTTGGGAGTTGACATGTTGGCGGATGGATTTATGAAGGATGAGGTTAATAATAGAATTGATGAAGGAAAAAAGGTGAGTGGTGCGTTGAGGTAAATGTGGAGTCAAAAAACATTATCTATTGAGGCAAAGAAGGGAATGTATGAAAGTATAGTAGTACACTCTTATATGGATGTGAAGCTTGGGTTGTGAATGCAGCAGCGAGGAGGTGGTTGGAGGCAGTGGAGATGTCCTGTCTAAGGGCAATGTGTGGTGTAAATATTATGCAGAAAATTCGGAGTGTGGAAATTAGGAAAAGACGTGGAGCTAATAAAAGTATTAGTCAGAGGGCAGAAGAGTGGCTGTTGAGGTGGTTTGGTCATTTAGAGAGAATGGATCAAAGTAGAATGACATGGAAAGCATATAAATCTATAGGGGAAGGAAGGCGGGGTAGGGGTCGTCCTCGAAAGGGTTGGAGAGACGGGGTAAAGGAGGTTTTGTGGGCGAGGGGCTTGGACTTCCAGCAAGAGTGCGTGAGCATGTTAGATAGGAGTGAATGGAGACGAATGGTACTTGGGACCTGACGATCTGTTGGAGTGTGAGCAGGGTAATATTTAGTGAAGGGATTCAGGGAAACCGGTTATTTTCATATATTCGGACTTGAGTCCTGGAAATGGGAAGTACAATGCCTGCACTTTAAAGGAGGGGTTTGGGATATTGGCAGTTTGGAGAGACATGTTGTGTATCTTTATACGTACAGTGGACCCCCGCATAACGATCACCTCCCAATGCGACCAATTATGTAAGTGTATTTATGTAAGTGCGTTTGTACGTGTATGTTTGGGGGTCTGAAATGGAATAATCTACTTCACAATATTCCTTATGGGAACAAATTCAGTCAGTACTGGCACCTGAACATACTTCTGGAATGAAAAAATATCGTTAACCGGGGGTCCACTGTATATGCTTCTAAACTGTTGTATTCTGAGCACCTCTGCAAAAACAGTGATAATGTGTGAGTGTGGTGAAAGTGTTGAATGATGATGAAAGTATTTTCTTTTTGGGGATTTTCTTTGTTTTTTGGGTCACTCTGCTTCGGTGGGAGATGGCCGACTTGTTGAAAAAAAAAAATAAATAAAAAAAAAAATATAACAGTTGAAAATAGCATCATATTGAAGTACGTACTATTCTGTCAAGCCTCCTGACAGCAGGAACGGATTAATTGGGTTTCCATTACTTCTTTTTTTATTATTTTTTTATTATCACACTGGCCGATTCCCACCAAGGCAGGGTGGCCCGAAAAAGAAAAACTTTCACAATCATTCACTCCATCACTGTCTTGCCAGAAGGGTGCTTTACACTACAGTTTTTAAACTGCAACATTAACACCCCTCCTTCAGAGTGCAGGCACTGTACTTCCCATCTCCAGGACTCAAGTCCGGCCTGCCGGTTTCCCTGAACCCCTTCATAAATGTTACTTTGCTCACACTCCAACAGCACGTCAAGTATTAAAAACCATTTGTCTCCATTCACTCCTATCAAACACGCTCACGCATGCCTGCTGGAAGTCCAAGCCCCTCGCACACAAAACCTCCTTTACCCCTCTCTCCAACCTTTCCTAGGCCGACCCCTACCCCGCCTTCCTTCCACTACAGACTGATACACTCTTGAAGTCATTCTGTTTCGCTCCATTCTCTCTACATGTCCGAACCACCTCAACAACCCTTCCTCAGCCCTCTGGACAACAGTTTTGGTAATCCCGCACCTCCTCCTAACTTCCAAACTACAAATTCTCTGCATTATATTCACACCACACATTGCTCTCAGACATGACATCTCCACTGCCTCCAGCCTTCTCCTCGCTGCAACATTCATCACCCATGCTTCACACCCATATAAGAGCGTTGGTAAAACTATACTCTCATACATTCCCCTCTTTGCCTCCAAGGACAAAGTTCTTTGTCTCCACAGACTCCTAAGTGCACCACTCACTCTTTTCCCCTCATCAATTCTATGATTCACCTCATCTTTCATAGACCCATCCGCTGACACGTCCACTCCCAAATATCTGAATACATTCACCTCCTCCATACTCTCTCCCTCCAATCTGATATCCAATCTTTCATCACCTAATCTTTTTGTTATCCTCATAACCTTACTCTTTCCTGTATTCACCTTTAATTTTCTTCTTTTGCACACCCTACCAAATTCATCCACCAATCTCTGCAACTTCTCTTCAGAATCTCCCAAGAGCACAGTGTCATCAGCAAAGAGCAGCTGTGACAACTCCCACTTTGTGTGTGATTCTTTATCTTTTAACTCCACGCCTCTTGCCAAGACCCTCGCATTTACTTCTCTTACAACCCCATCTATAAATATATTAAACAACCACGGTGACATCACACATCCTTGTCTAAGGCCTACTTTTACTGGTAAATAATTTCCCTCTTTCCTACATACTCTAACTTGAGCCTCACTACTTCTTATGAGGAAAATTAATTCGGCTATTGATAAAATCGGTTAAGGACAAGCTCTCTGGAACGGATTAAAATCGTTACCCAAGGGTCCACTGTACTAAATCAGTGGGGGTCATAGAGCATCTTCATAATGAGAGGTAATCAGATCTGATGCAAGGATAGGGAAGGCAACTTCAAATCCTTGGATCAAGAGCCCTTCATCAGCATGAGATAATCTCCCTTGAGTGGTATTGACCACTAGTCTTTTCACCTCATGCCAGAAATCATCTTTCATTTCCAAAATTCTTGAGATTCCTGTAGTGTGTTAAAGTTGAGTCATCTTGCTGATTACCACACTTAGGAACACTCAAGCAATAACCATAACAGAGACTATGAAAACAAGAGAAAAAACTTATACTGTACATTCGTGATATGTTTATGTTGTTGTGACTTGACCTTCAATATAGCTGCCAAGAAACACCTGATGTCACAGACAAAACACTGGAATACCCAGTATTGTCCTGGCTAGTACCTCTTATCTATAACTCACTCATGTGAGGACCATGACTAGTACTTCTCATCAATGAATCAGTGTCATTACTTACTATCATTAACTGCTCCTCCTAAGACATCAGTAACTGGAGTGCCTGCTGAACCAGTGGAGTGAATGCTGGAGGTTCTCTGGCGACGATTGGTTGGGGGAATCAAGTCAGCTGGCAGCACCGTAGGAAGCTTGTTTCCAGCTTTAGCTGACTCACACAAGTACAGAGCTAGCACAAACTCTTCACAAGACAGACGTCCATCATTGTCAACATCTGCAAGTGCCCTGTACATACAAGCAAGTTCATTAGAAAGAAATGTGCAACACTGCACAATACAATTGAATATACAAGACAATTCATCACAATTCCTAATGGTATGTGATCTGCAGAGGTGAAGGTTTATAAACTAAAGGAGGAGGCAGTTAGGGTAAGATATAAACAACTGTAGGAGGACAGATGGGCTAGTGTGAGTATAAGCAACGAGGTAGAAGATGTATGGGTAAGTTTAGCCCTTTCAGGGTCTGTGCAGTAGTTCTACTGCTTTGAGTTGTGGGTCCAAACCGTAGAACTACGCCAAAATTCTAGCGGCCTCAAATTTAGCTCAAGAAGGCTGGTAGGTCTACATCTAAGAGAATGGGTCTGGGCAGTCAGTGTGCGCACTATAGAAAAAATCTGGACGCCCGCATGGCATTGTGGGAACGCCATCAAGGTGGCTTTGTTCACCATGCCTGGCAGGAAGGAAGCTCTCACTCCCCAGGCGAATTCTGACTCTCCTCTTCCCAACTTATAGTTCTAAGACTGATGGAAGTGGATCTGACGAGAAACTCTATGGTTATGAACCATATGGTGCAATGGTACCATATGGTACAATGGTGCCATACCATATAATGGTATCATATGGTAAAATGGTATATGGTACAATATACAATATGTTACAATGTGCAATATGGTACATTGTACCATATGGTACAGGGACCCTAATGGGAATACGTCTATCTGACCTTTTTGGTTATCCTAGGTCTCCAAACATATGCTGCTATGTATGATAATCTATGTAACTATTTGTGTACCAAATGGTACCCTGTAAAATATGCTACCCTGCACCATATGGTATTCTGTACTATATGGTACCCTGTACCATATGGTACAATGTACCATATTGTACCCTATACTGTATGGTACCCTGTACCATATGGCACCTTGTACCATATGGTACCCTGTAACACAAGGCCAGTATGAGGTGTCAATGCCATGAGGCACCAGCCAGGACTGAGTGAGTGTGGGACACTGACTCAGCAGTTTCCAAGACAAAGTGCTGCATCATCCACCTCAAGCAACATGTCCAGTGGCTGTACGTATGTAAAAATATATAATATAACATTACTAATATACAGCATTTTTTGCATTTTTTGTTGTAAACAGTTATTATAGAAGAAATAATGATGAAATTATTAATGCAGTTATTGTGTGAATACAACAGTACCATATGGTACAATGTACCATTGTACCATTTGGTACCATTGCACCATATGGTACCATTGCACCCTATGGTACCATTGTACCATAGGGTACCATTGCACCCTATGGTACCATTGCACCCTATGGTACATTGTACCATATGGTACCATTGTACCCTATGGTATCATATGGTACTATATGGTACTGTTGTACTCAAAACTGCACTAATATTTTCATCATTATTTTGTTTACAATAAACTTGTAAACAAGTTTTGTAAGCAATATAATAATAATAAACAAATTAGTGCAGTTATTGTGCTGAATACAATGAGTGTACACTTATACATTATACATTATATTGGTCTCACAGGCCACAAAAGTTGCTGGAAAAAAAATAGATAAGAAAATGGTAACAAAAACCTAAAATAAAATAACTGAGACTTTACGGAAGTCGCGGATGTTGCTGCCACTAGGTCATTGAGGGTCAACTTCACGCCTCTATACCTCGGTAACTACTGATCAAAAAAAAATTTTTTTTTGTTTTATTACCTATAGAAAATTATCTTTAATTCTTTAAGAATTTTTTTTTTTAAATTCTTGGACACTGGTGCACCCTTTGAGATTTGGCCTCTGGATCCTGAAAGGGTTAAGAATATAGTGTTAGGGTGTTCACCAGCAGTTTGTGGTTACAGGAAAGTGGATGTGGGAGGGAAGAACAGCAATTGGTGGAATGATGATGTAAACAGAGTAGTAAGAGAGAAAAAGTTAGCATATGAGAGGTTTTTACAAAGTAGAAGTGATGCAAGGAGGGAGGAGTACAGGTACCATCTGACTTATGACCAAGCTTGGTTCCGATCAACCGGTCAAGTCAAAATGGATGCAAGTCGAACCTTAGAAAATTGCCGATAGGGATACTTCAAAAATTAAATCTTAGTCTTGTAAAGCATGTTTCAGTGCCCTTCTCTATTACATAAGAATTCAATATTATTTATTTAGATTTTAGTAAGGTTTTTGATTGAGTACTGCACCAGAGACTATTAAAACAAGTGGCAGCTCATGGCACTGGGGGAAAAGTGCTGTCACGGATCGAGTCATGGCTCACCAATAGGGAGCAGAAAGTGTGCTTAAATGGGGTTAAATCTGAGTCGGGCTTTGTAACAAGTGGCGTTTCACACGGATCAGTCTTAGGCCCATTGTTGTTTATAATATATATCAATGACCTTGATGAGGGAATTGCAAGTGATATGAGCAACTTCGCCGATTAAATGAAGATAGGTAGGATAATTGATTCAAGCAAAGATGTCACGGAACTTCAGGAGGATTTAGACAAACTCAATTCCTGGTCAGAAAACTGGCAGATGCAGTTCAGTGTAGATAAATGCAAGGTTCTGAAGCTCAGGAGTGTCCATAACACTAGCACTTATAATTTAAAAAATGTAAAACCTTGCCATACAGATTGCAAAAAGGATTTCGGGGTTATGGTAAGCAGCAACTTTAAGCCAAGACAGCAATGCCTAAGTATTACGGCAAACAGATTACCGAGATTTTTAGCAAGAAGTGTAAGCAACACAAGCCCAGTGGTTATATTACAGCTTTATACATCATTAGTAAGTTCTCACCTCGATTACGCAGCTCAGTTCTGGTCTCCATATTATAGAATGGATATTAATTTGTTCAGAAACATTCAGCGAAGAATGACCAAATTAATTCAAAGCATTAGAAGTCTTCTGCATGAAGAAAGATTGAAGTCCCTTAACCCTTTGACTGTCACAACCCCAAATCCTGAAATGTCTCCAGGTGTCACAAAATATTTGAAAAAAAAAAAAAAAAATCTTATGAAATGATAGAGAATCTTTTCCCGATGATAATGATACCAAAAGTACGAAATTTGATGGAAATCTTACGGAATTACACACTCGCAAAGTTAGCGACTTTGGTGACATTTACGCATCGGCGATTTCACCCACTTTGAGCCCTATTTTCGCCCAATTCTAATGTTCAAGTACACCAAACTCATAGCTATTTCTTTAGAATTCCATTTGTTCTATCTATTGAGTACAAGAAACCACCCATTTACTGATTTCGATTACCCAATAAAGTGGTCAGAAATTGGCAATTTGGCCAATTTCATGCAAATTAAAAATTATGCCAATTTCAAAAAAGGGTCCAGAATGAACAATGCAGACACTCCTGGCACTAAAAGAACATTTTCTCTGTTCATCTGTCATGTCTCCAGGCCCCTGTTGTAATACTCTTGCTTTCTATTTTGAATTTTTATTCACACAAAAAAATAGATTTACTGTTATGCAGACTACTGCAATATTGCAATAATTGTATAAATAATGTCAACCCATTCGTGACTGCATATTAGAATGGCTAGCTGGACATTTATTGGGCAATGACGTCATTTGTTTACTCTTGAACATCGGCAAAAATCGAACATTTCTGCCAATTTGAGCTCCATTTCAAGATCCTTTTCATAGTAAAACCAATCAAAATCACTTCTATTTCTATATGTTTTCCATTCTATCAAATGAGACCAAGAAAACAAGAATACAACAATAAATACTATATGAAAATACAGCTCAAAGTCGGCATTTTAATCCAAAAACATGGTCGGAGTTTTTTTTCCTCATTATGCACTGTGTGCTGCAGGATTTATTTTATACTGCGCACACTTACCACACAGACCCATTCTCTCATATGTGGGCCTACCAGCATTCTCCTGCTTGATTTGACGGCGCTAGATTTTTTTAGTATATATACGTCAAACATATTGGCTCATAAGATGTATATATACAGCCAAAACAGTGAAAGGGTTAAATTACATTCACTTGTTAGATGAAGAATGAAAGGAGACATGATCGAAGTGTATAAGTGGAAGATGGGTATTAATAAAGGGGATATTAGTAAGGTCCTGAGGATATCTCTCCAAGAGAGAACCCACAATAATGGATTCAATTAGAGAAGTTGAGATTTAGAAAGGATATAGGAAAGTATTGCTTGGGAAATAGGGTAGTTGATGAGTGGAACAGTCTGCCTAGTAGGGTTATTGAAGCTAAAACCTTAGGTAGTTTCAAGTTTAAGTTGGACAAATACATGAATGAGAGGGGTTGGATTTGAGTGGGACTTGCATGTGAGTAAATAGATTTGTCAGAGCTTATTGTTAGGGTAGCACTGAAAGTGGGTTGGGCAAATGTTCTGTTAGTGGGATGGTTCTGTAAAGGACTTGCCTAGCACAGGCCAACAGGCCTACTGCAATGTTCCTCTTTTCATGTGTCCTTATGTTCTTATACAGTAGACTTCTAATGCGATGTATTAGTTTTGTCATTCATCACTGAATGTTTTCTAATGAATTAAAATCCATTCTGTAAAATGAAGACCAGAACTGAGCTTCGTAATGTAGGCGAGGCCTTACTAATGATGTATAAAACTGATTTGAGAAGGCATATTTCAGTGTCCCTTCTCTATTACATAAGAACATAAGAATGGTGGAACATTGCAGAAGGCCTTCTGGCCCATACAAGGCAGGTCCTGATCAAAACCACCCCTACCCAAAGCTACCCAAGAATTCACTCCCACACCCTCAACACCAGTCAAACCCAGCCTGGGAACGTCACGGTGAATGACACCTAGGAAGGTAAAAAAAACAATTGTTGTTGTTGGGCATAGTCAAGTTAAGTATATGGATAGGTTTTGCAGGATAGGAGTAGGAGACAGAGGGTTTGCTTTCCTGGGGCTGGAATGGAGGATATTGTTAGCCAGCTTGACAACATCATGAACAATAATGGGATCAGTGCCTCAGTATTGGAGGCAATGATGTTGG